CCCCGGGCTCTGCGCATGCGCAGTGGCGCCGCCGCTGCTCTCCGGTACCGGCCCCGCGGGGCTGGGGGGCCCCGGGAGCTCATCCTGCACCCCCAAAAGGCACAGCATCACCCCCAGACCCCTCATCCTGCACCCCCAAAGGAACAGCATCACCCCCAGACCCCTCATCCCGCCCCCTCCCCATGCACAGCATCACCCCCGATCATCTCCACTTGGCCAGAATCACGGAATATGAATGGGAAGGAAGCCCCAGGGTCTCCAGTTCATGTGAGACTCGCTGTGGGCTCCTGGAAGCGATGGCAGGAGGTGTTTGGGGGAAGGAAAGCGCCCGCCCCGTGTGGGTGCTGCAGCTGTTGGCTCCTGAGCAGGGCTGATAGAAGCTTGGCAAGGAGAGCAGTTTCTCATCTTCCCCACCCACGCTGGCACCGGGTGCTTTCTGTGCCCAGGAAGGTTCTGCCACCCTCTGTCACTAGCCCACCTCCAAAACTGGGTCACCTCCTCCAAAACTGGGTCACCCCTACAAAACTGGGTACAGCCAGGGTATTTTCCCACTCAAAAGGTGCCAGGACTGAAAGCTGTTGCTCATCCTCACCTGCCCTGGGCTTTCCTTCCCAGAAAAGCTGTCCCTGGTATCCCTGGAAGTGCCCAAAGTCAGGCTGGACGAGGCTTGGAGCAGCCTGGGACAGTGGGAGGTGTTCCTGCCACGGCAAGGGTGGGGCTGGATGATCCCAAACCAGTCTGGGATTCCTGTGAATCAGGAGCAGGAAAATCTGCCATGAGGGATTTACAGCTCCCTGCACATCACAGGCTCTGGGAGAAAAACCCAGGCAGTTTCTGTGGTGGTTTTCTTTTATCACAGAATCCTCAAGACAGCTCAGCCCTGCACAGAGCAACCAGAAAGAACAGCAACACCTCCGTTCCCTGCTGAAAAATGTTATTTTTCATGGAACAGCTTCCCATGGAACCTCCCCTGGCATCCCTTCGTGCCCTCCTGTGGCTGTGGCTGCAGATAAGCAGGGGGATCCTGCTCTGACAAGGAAGTTTGGGACTTTCTGCTGGGTTTTTTTGGCTTGTTCCTCTTTCAGGACACAGACCTCACACTGTCTGCAGTTTCCTCAGCAGGGGCAGCTCCAGTCTCTGCTCCGTGACCAGGACAGGACCCAGGGAGTGGCTGGAGCTGTTTCAGGGAGGTTCAGGTTGGATATCAGGGAAAGGTTCTTTCCCCAGAGGTGCTGGCACTGCCCAGGCTCCCCAGGGAATGGTCACAGCCCCGAGGCTGCCGGAGCTCCAGGAACATTTGTGTTCCCAAGGATGCACAGGGTGGGGTTTCTGGGGTGTCTGTGCAGAGCCAGGGGTCGGACTGGGTGATCCCTGTGTGTCCCTTCCAGCTGAGATTCCATAATTTTATATGTCTGATATAGAATTTTATATTTTCTTTCAGCAGGGGCACAGCCCTGGACTCTCTGCGACCCCACAGCTCAAGGGAAGCCCCCTTCCCCTGTCCAAGCACCTCAGTCCATGGCCAGAGGCTCCCCTGGCTCCTGCCGAGCTCCAGCACCCTCCCATTCCTGCCAGGAGCTGCCCTCCTCCCCTCAGCCCCAGTACAGCATTCCCACAGGAAACTGTCTTTAGAAATCCGCTTTATTTGGTTGAAGAGAAGTCGGTGATGGAGAACTCAGAGCCCAGCACGGCCCCAGACACCTCTGAGAACCCCGAGCAGCCACAGGCCACGCTCGTGCAGGGTTCCTGACACTGGGAGATGCAGCTGGGGGATCCAGGAGCAGGAGCCTGGCTGGAGCAGCCCTCCATGGCCCGACAGGACACACCTGAGCTTCAGCAGCTGCTGTGTCGTGGCACCGGGTGTCCCTCGTGTCCCAGGCCAGCACAGCAGGAACGTGGAGCGGGGAGGAGTCCGTGAGCCCCAGCTGGAGGAGCTGGGATTTGCTGGGATTTGCTGGGATTTGCTCCCCAGCCCAGGCTGGAGCCCCCCAAGCATCCCTGGAAGTGGCACTGGAGCCAGTCCCTGGCCTGCAGCCAGGGCAGCAGTGGTTGTATCCCTTGGGGGGAGGAGGAGGAGGAGGAGGAGGATTTCCTGACCAAACTCCCCCCATCGATTCCCTTAGCTTCACGGATCAGGAAAAATCCGGGGAAGAAGCTGAACCCCAGCGCAGGACGCGGCAGTGGGGAAGGAGCAGACGCAGGGGATCCTCGGTGTGGGGCAGCTGCCAGCGTCACCCCGCTCCCCTCGGGGCTCAGAGGGGAGGCAGAGGAGGGGCTGTGCATTCCCAGGAACGGGGAGGATCCCGGGGCTCTCCGTGGGATCCCTCAGTTGATGGGCTCGTACTCGGAGTAGCGTCTCCTCTGTGCCAGCAGCAGCAGGCAGCTCCCCAGCAGCAGCAGGGCCAGGGGTGTGCCCAGCGCCACGGCCGCGATGGAGATCACCAGAGGGGAGAAACTGTCCCTGGGGGGCTCCCCAAAACCCAGCAGCACCGACCTGTGGGGGGACACGGCACAGACCAGCACAGGGATGGGGTTTTCCCTCAGAGGGTCAGGCTGAGACACACACAGGGCAAGACGAGGATCCTCAGGGAACTGCAAAGCCTTTGCTACAGGACTGCAGGGGAACTGAGGACTTGGGAATGGAGACTGTTACTAAACAGGGAAACCCTCTGACCTGCCAGTCCCAAAAACTGCACAGTGTCAGTGACCAGGAACATCCCCTCACACTCCTCTGCACAGTGTCAGTGACCAGGAACATCCCCTCAGACCCCTCAGCACAGCATTAGTGACCAGGATTGTCCCCTCAGACCCCTCAGCACAGTGTCAGTGACCAGGATTGTCCCCTCAGACCCCTCAGCACAGTGTCAGTGACCAGGATTGTCCCCTCAGACCCCTCAGCACAGTGTCAGTGACCAGGATTGTCCCCTCAGACCCCTCAGCACAGCATTAATGACCAGGATTGTCCCCTCAGACCCCTCTGCACAGCATTAGTGACCAGGATTGTCCCCTCAGACCCCTCTGCACAGCATTAATGACCAGGATTGTCCCCTCACACCCCTCTGCACAGTGTCAGTGACCAGGATTGTCCCCTCACACCCCTCTGCACAGCATTAATGACCAGCAGAATCCCCTCAGACCCCTCAGCACAGTGTCAGTGACCAGGATTGTCCCCTCAGACCCCTCAGCACAGTGTCAGTGACCAGGATTGTCCCCTCAGACCCCTCTGCACAGCATTAATGACCAGCAGCATCCCCTCAGACCCCTGGTACCCCACTCACCAGCTGAGGTATCGCCTCTCCTGATACACCTCTCCCTCCTCTCCCCCAAAGGACACATTGAGGGCGCTGATGGTGCAGCTGCTGCCCAAACTGTCCCCAAAGTAGGCCTGGACGATGCTGGACACGGGCAGGCTCCAGTTGGCCGCCCGCAGCCCCTGAGCCCGGCACCGGATCCCGTCCTCGCGCCGGGGGCTGCGGGAGCCGTAGGCCGTCGCCTTCCACTGCAGGAAGCCGAGCGTGGAGCTGCCGTTGTGGGGCTCAGCAAGCAGGGACAGCACCTGGGGAGGGACAGGGTGAGGGCAAGGTGTAAGAGACGGTCCGAAGATTCCCTCATCTGTCTCACAACCGTCTCAAGGACAGAGACTGAGACCCAGAATATCACAATGGTTTGGGGGTTTGGGCCTAGCTGAGATGGATGTTTGCTAAGTGATTGTTTGCAGGTGGTTGCACGGTACACTGCTCTCGTTCCTGCTGGTGAGCAGAGGTTTGTGCGTGGTACCCTGTGCAATGGGTTTTCCACGACACCTTGTCCTCATTCCTGCTGATGAGCAAAGATTTGCACGACATGGATCGCTCTGTACCCTACACCTGCTCCCCACGCAATGGAATTCATCACAATGATCATCAGTCTCATCTGGTTTTGGCCCTGCACCCCTCGCTTTGCAAAAGGCTATAAAATTATACCCCAAACTGACCTTCCTTTGAGATCTCCCCTACGGACAGCAGACTCTGCGTCGCTGGACGGCTGAGTGGACTTTGATGTTGGTAGCTATAATCCCCTTACTCTCTTTTCTTTATGCTTTGCTTTCTCTTTTCTTTCCCTCTATCGCATATTAGTGCTGATGAGCACTCAATAAAGTGTGTTTTGCTGTTTGAGTCCTTGGTTTGCTGATAATCTTTTGTACTCTAAGACCGACTAAAAGAACCACATCACGAATCCCACCTTGCGGACACAAGGACAGCAGGGTCACCCCCAGCCCGGGGCCAGCCCTCGCTTGTTGGGAAGGTAGAATTAGAAAGAAATTATAAATATGACTCTGTAGCCAGAAAGGCTAAAGAAGAAATACAAATGAATGCATGGTTTGAATAATTCAAAGCAACCAGGCTGGTATGCCAGAACACGTTCTTTCCCCCAATAAAACCAAGCTGAGACCCCTCTACCCAGCCTTATAAGGAAAGGTCTGAAGGACCCTGAGGTAACTAAAAATATGCAAAAACAGCGATTTCTATAGGTCACACACAAATGTTACTGTATTAGTATACTTAGAAAGATTGGTTAGTAAAGGAACAGACTATTCAATGTATAGGTTATATAAGTGGTTGTATAGGAGGGCTCGGCCTCTTTTTTCCCAGCTCTCTCACTTCTGTTCTGTTTTCTCTTTCTTAAGTCTTGAGCTCATGTATTCATATTTTACCCCTTTTGTATCGTTCTCTCCGAGCCCGCTTTGAGCTCTATCTGCTGGCTCAGAGCAGGCTCTCTCACTCTCCCACGCCCTGAAATAAACTTCCAACACGTAATAAACTCAATTATAGAGGTCTCTGCCGCGTCTCGGACCGTCCACCCCAGAAAGCGTCTCCTCCACTCGCTCACCTCGAAGATGGTGGGGGTGTACTCGTCGTCGATGGATCTCTCGGATCGCAGCCTCCGCACCGCTCCCTCCTCCTCCACCGTGGCCACCTCCAGCGCGAAGCGGGAGCTGTTTCCCCGTGGGGCCACCCCAGCCAGGATGAATTCCAGCTGGGAGCTGTCTGCCGTGTGCAGGAGGCTGGGCAGGCGTCCCTCGCGGCCCCCGGCCTCGTAGGCTGTCACCTGTGAGGGGACGCGGGTCAGAGGTGAGGCATTCCCTCTCCAGGAATCGTCTGGACAGGACATTCCCGGTGTTCTGTCCCCTGGATGTACCCGGAATGCCAGGCTGCCGTTGGAGAAGCCGCCGCCGGGGTCGGTGGCCGGGACCCCGCTGAGCTCGGCCGTCAGCGCGGTGCGGTTCAGGGTGTGGTTGAGGCTGTCCCAGGAGAACTCAGACAGGTCATAGGTGGGGTAGAAGAGCTCTCCCGAAGGTTTGGCCTCCCTGAACTCGAACAGCTGCAGGGAAGGAAGGGGAGAGGGGCTGGGAGCACTGGCAGGACGGGAGCTGGTGCCGTGATCCAGGGAACAGGGCAGAGCTGCCTCAGGCTGGAGACAGACACTTCCCTGGATGGGAATGGTGGGGATTTCCCTGGAGCTGGGAAGCTGCCCAGGGACCCTCAGCACCGCCAGCTCTCCCAGAGCAGCCCCTGGCCAGCAGTACCTTGGTGAAAACCACGGCCGTGGAATAGACCACGCTGTCGGGAGGGTCGATCCAGATGGCTCCAGCAGGACTGGGGGAGAGCAGCTGGGTCCAGTTGACCCTCAGGGCACTGCTGGGGCTCTGGGTGGCCACCAGGAGCACGGCTGGGGCCCCGATGCTGCTCCACACGTAGTGCAGGCTGTCCCCCGGCCCCGCCGCCCGCACGTGCAGCAGGTTCACGGAGGAGCCGTTCCAGCCGGGGTTGTACTGCATGGAAACCTGTGGGGACAGGGCTGGGGTGGCTCTGAGCCCTGCAGGACAATCCCAGAGTCCTGAGGGTGGCTCTGAGCCCTGCAGGACAATCCCAGAGTCCTGAGGGTGGCTCTGAGCCCTGCAGGACAATCCCAGAGTCCTGGGGTTGGGACATCGGAGCCACCTCGGCTCCCGTGACTCTGCAGCCCCGGTGTTGCTCAACACGCTCGGTCAGCATTTCACAGCCGGACGTTTGGGAACAGCTTTGAGCGGCTTCTCATCCCTCAGCCCTTCCCTTCCCATCCCACAGCCCTTCCCATCCCTCAGCCCTTCCCTTTCCATCCCACAGCCCTTCCCATCCCTCAGCCCTTCCCTTTCCATCCCACAGCCCTTCCCATCCCTCAGCCCTTCCCTTTCCATCCCACAGCCCTTCCCATCCCTCAGCCCTTCCCTTTCCATCCCACAGCCCTTCCCATCCCTCAGCCCTTCCCTTTCCATCCCACAGCCCTTCCCTTCCCTCAGCCCCTTCCCTTCCCACAGCCCCTTCCCTTCCCATCCCACAGCCCCTTCCCATCCCTCAGCCCTTCCCATCCCACAGCCCCTTCTCATCCCTCAGCCCTTCCCTTCCCATCCCACAGCCCTTCCCTTCCCTCAGCCCTTCCCATCCCTCAGCCCTTCCCTGCCTATGGCCATGCTGGTCCCACTGGTTTATGACCAAGGGGACACAAGGGACAGACACGGGTGGCCCTGGGACATGTCACAGCAGGACAGGGGTTGGCAGGGCAGGGCTCAGCCCGGTCCCCGTGTCAGGACAGAGGGAGAGGTGGCTTCAGCTCCAGCCCCCCGTGGATGTTCCCGGTGCCCCGGGGAGCCTCTGCTCCCCCCCAGACCCCGCAAAGCCGGGCCCAGCAGGACCGGGCGGATCTCGGGGGGTCCAGCCCAGCCCCTGCTCCACAAAGGCACAAACTGAACCAAAAGTCTCCCTTCAACACGAGCAAGAACTTCTTTAGGTTGAGGGTGGCAGAGCCCTGGAGTGTCCCGCTCTGGGGACATCCCAAACCCACCCGGCTGTCCCTGTGTCACCCGCTCGGGGTGACCCCGGCTCCAAGCCGGCTGTCCCGGGATTCTGAGATTCCCGGGAGGAGCGGGAGGGGCCTCGGGGGGTCTCAGGCACCACCAAGGCGGCGGGAGCGGGGCGAGCACCGAGCAGAGGCCGCGGAGCCCCGCTAGCCCCGGTCCCGGTCCCCCGGTCCCCCCGGTCCCGGTTCCCGCTTCTCATCCCTCAGCCCTTCCCTTCCCCCCGGTTCCCCTAGCCCCGCTAGCCCCGGTCCCGGTCCCGGTCCCCCGGTCCGGCTCACCTTCCGGCCCCGCTCGGCCCCGGCCGCCGCCAGCAGCGCCGCCAGCAGCGCCAGCCCCGCACGGGCGGCCATGGCGCGACCGGGCCCGACCACGGCACCGCCCCGGGACCGCCCCGGAACCTCCCCAGAACCGCCCCGGAACCGCCCCGGGGACCGCCCCGGAACCTCCCCGGGGACCGCCCCGGAACCTCCCCAGAACCGCCCCGGAACCGCCCCGGTACCGCCCCGGTACCGCCTCGGAACCGCCTCGGAACCGCCCCGGTACCGCCTCGGAACCGCCCCGGGACCGCCCCGGTACCGCCTCGGAACCGCCCCGGGACCGCCCCGGTACCGCCTCGGAACCGCCCCGGAACAGCCCCGGGGACCGCTCCGGTACCGTCCCAGAACTGCCCCGGTACCGGCCCGGGACCGCCCCAGAACTGCCCCGGGACTGCCCCGGTACCACCCCGGGACCGCCTCGGAACCGCCCCGGAACAGCCTCGGTTCCGTTCCGGTCCCACCCCGGAACATCCCCGGTACCCGGGGAGGGTGCGGGATGCGGACGGGGACAGGCACCGCTCCGAGTTTGCTGTTCCGTTTCCCGTCCCCGTGTGCGCTGAGCCCGCTTCGTCCCCCAGGACAGCACAGACCCCATTTCCATCCCCCAGAGCACACAGACCCCATTTCCATCCCCCAGAAGGGCAGTGGAGACCCCTTTCCATCATCCCATACAGGGAAAACCCCCTCCTCCATTCCCC